TCCATGTCCTCTCAGGATGTGCACACTTAGGAGAGAGTGTGGTGCTGGGAAGACAGAGAATTTGAAAAAGGCCTTTCTCAAGGGGTCATGATATCACAGCTTCCCCTCTCTGCTGCCTCCCGCCTGCAAATAGCTCGTTGCTGACGGGCCTGATTAGTCTTGTTGAGAGGTAGTGCTGCTCGTTTCTGACTTGCTTATTGTAAGTCATTTCTGGTGTATAAAATCCCAACAGTGTAGCCCGGCCGAAGCCTACCCACAGCCCACGAGCTCATTACTTAGCCTCAGGTAACCCAGCAAACAATCTTAGGCTTGAAGATAGCACTACAAAAGGCTCAATGGATGTCACGCCTTCCAACACTATTGCCATCGGTTCCCAGTGCCAGAGAAGGCAGAGCCATGCACATGGGCCTTACTGACGGAACAAGGAAGGTGGCCTGTGCTGTCTGCCCCTCCTTGGTCATTTTGCAATTCCAGTTTCTGTTGAGTAAGGGTCTGAATGTTGTCCCCTCCTTATTTCTGCCATCTTCCTCACTTTTTCCCTTGCCACTTGAGAAGGAATGGGAACTAGTGCAGTGACATGGAGCCATGGCCATTTAATTGAATCTATAAAACCATGAGTCACTAGGACCATATGAGCTACAGAAAGCTTTCACTTTGTGCGTGCGCCTCATCCGCGCTGCAGAGCTGTGCATTCAAGCTACTCCCCCGAGGCAGGAACGATGACAAAGCGTGGCTCCACAGTGGGGCCTGCCCTCCCTGAGAGAATGCTGGGCCTTAGACACTTTGACGTAAGCTGATAGGTCGTTATGGCTTGGGTGTTTTAAAATAGATTTAAAATACATAGGCTGCTAGTTGGGAGGGGGTGGGAATGAGGGAGAAAAAAATAAATAAATAAAATTATAAAATATATTTTAATTTTTGAATTCTCAGCCATCAGTCAACTTGAACTCTGTGAGTATGCAAGCGGTGGTGTGAGGTAGAAAGCAGTCACCTCTCTGTGCTTTTTTTTTTTTTTTTGGCTATACCCCACCCTGCTGAAAAGATTTAGGTTTAGTTTCCTGTCATTTCCTGGTGATATAAAAGTAGCAGAGTGTTGGGCCGGCCAAGTGGTGCGTTGGTTAGGAGTTGACTTGGGACACCAGCTCTGAGCAGCAGGGCCCTGGTTCGGATCCCACATGAGGGCCAGTGACACTGCACCCTCTACAGCTAAGATGGTGAACAACAGCTCAACCTGGAGCTGGCTACTGTGAGTCCCCGACGCTGGTGTAGGCTGCAGTGGGGCTGGTCAGCAGTAGGCATGAGCTTTCATGAGCCACCGTGAGCAGCCATCCAATGGCGGCGAGCGACTGCCTCACCCGGGAAAAGCACAATGATAACACCAACATGGGCCAGTGAGACGACGTCCTCTACAACCAGAGTGAAGAACAAAAGGACAGCAACTTGTCTGTTCCCCTTCCTCGATTCCCCAATGCTGTTTTCCTCCCCCAGTCCCCCAATAAAATCTTTTTAAAAAATTAAAAAATAAAAGTAGTGGAGTGTTATATGTGGCTGTAGAAAACCACATTATAGAAATGCTTACATTCTCGCCAGTTGTCAGCTTAAGGAGCATCATGTGGCAATGAAAAACTCAAGTGTTTCTATCCCACAAGCCATTTCCTGAGGTGGATTATATCTCTGAGTAATGGTAGCCAGTGTTCCAGCTTCATATTTTTATTGGCACTGTAAACAAATAAGCCGGAATACTATCTGGGAGATTGTGTGCTACAGCCGTTGCAATTCGTATCCCATTTCTTCTATGTGAACACTCTCTCAGTGGTGTGCCACATGGTATAAGGATGTTCTTTTTATTGAACTCGGTAATATCCAGTGGGTGGTGTTAGTCTCACCAGTTTGTCCTGATAATGTATGTTCCGCCTTCTCCAGGAGTACGTCATTGTCCTGCTGTGAAAATCCACGTCTCTTGTTGCCGTAATCCTTTCCTGTAGAGAGCATTTAAGCCTCAGACGGTTCCATTTCTGTCAAGAAGGGAGAAATAATGAAGGCAGCTATTATACTTTTACTGAATGTGAAGTGCTCGGGCGGCGTAATGAAATCCATAAACTGGTGAGTCATGGTCACCGCAAACCAGTCAGCCAGGAAGCGAGTGACGGAGCTGCAGTTTCTGCACGGCCAGCAGCTGATGCTGCTCCTCCAGTGGCACTTGTGCGGGGCCTCTCCTGATTTGTGGGCACCAAGTGCCTAATTTTGTTTTAAGAACTCGAAGCTTTCATGGGTGTTCTAAAGGTTGCGTAAGGGAACATCGAATCTGAAAAAGATTCTTGAGGCCTGGTGGACGTCTGTCTGGAAGTCCTGCTTTCCTGTCAGTTATCAGAGCCTGCATTCTAAGAAAAAGGAGAGAATCCTGCCTGAGGTGCTTCCAGTTGGTCATTTTGTTGTGGAGAGGGCACCGTTTAGAAGCTTCTGGAAGTCTATGCACCACTCATAATTTGAGGGGATGTGAGCATAAGTCTGGTATAGGCAATAGAAGATGGTGAAACAAAGTAAAAAAAAATCTTTCAATCCTTGCTCTGCAAATAGAATGCAGACATTCTTGTTCTTTGTGCAGCAGTATTACAGGATGCTGTCCATGTGACTGTCAGTGGCTAACACCATTTATTCGAGCATCAGAACTGTAGAACTTTGTGAGGTACTTGTTTCCCCTTCCCCAAAGAGGTACTACAGTGTGAAGAAGAAAAGCGTAATACAAATTGTTTGTCAGTGTGTGGGGGTGGGGGTGGAGTATGGGNGGGGGGGGGGTGTTGTGTACACCTAACACACACATTAATAAAGGGAAAATAAATAAAAGTCAAGGTAGCTTAGGGAGGTAGTATTTAAAATATTTGTATAATTTGGAAACAGAAAAGCTTTAGAAGATGGTTTGTGGAAATACTGGTAGATTGGGCCTCAGTTACAGGAATAACGGCAAAAATGGAAGGTATAATAAAAATGCTTATTGGCCTCTTAGCTCTTTTCCCCTTTCTACACACATTTTAAACTCAGAACGGTGCTCTTTGCTTTCAAAATAATATACCTTATGCAGCCATGCACCAGATGTCTCCATGAAGGAATGGGTTTTAGTGAGTCAGGTTCAGGCCCTCATCTCAAAAGCTAAACACCTCAGTCATCTATCAGTTCCCGTTTTGTGAGTTCTTGAGACATTTTCCACACAGACATGTGCAGTCATTGCCTTGTTCTTTCATATGTCCCTCTCTCCTTTCCATTTTCATGGTTTTTGTCTCCAACTTCTTGCTACTGACTTCGTGAAAGACCTTGCAGAATTAGTCACCGTTTGCACATGTGGTCTGCTCAGCGTTCCAGTGGCCCGTTCAAGGGATAACATACCTTTTCCCTGGAGAGCATTGTTCCCCTGACTCCTCTCCAGTGAACACAGGTGAAGAGCACAGAGCCTACCTCTCAGAAACATGGATGGACTTTGGGGTCCCAGCAAACTGCCATGAGTGTGCGTAAGGGTTGGGTGTGAAAGCTGAGTTCTCATTAAAGTGTGGTTTCCATGTGTTTAGAGAACCGCAGATTGTATTTGTAGACCAGTGATTTCCAAACAGACTCAGCCGTAAGTTGTTTCTGTAATCATTGTAGGGGGGAGAGGAAATGCTGAGTTACGTGTCCGTGTTCTCAGTTGCGCTGCCAAAGCCTTGAGACCCGACATGATGGAGCCATTCAGAGAATCTTTGTCTCTTGTGTCAGAAGTTGGCTTTCAAGGACCTGGAATGGCAGAGCCCCAGAAGCAGGATTTCTGAATAGCGTAGCGTGTCCCTGAAATTCTTGGCACGGGAAAAACAATGAAGTAAACGCGAGATTATTAACTTGAACACACCAAGAATAAAATGGCCACCACTGTCCAGTTTCAGCCTGGGAGTCCAGAACCTTGTAAATTGATGTTTATGCTATCATTTTTGTCAGCGCGCCCCTCGCCACTGTGTCCGCTCCTCTGCCCCCATCACCTGTTAATGCGCTTTGGAGTTGGTGGGTGTATCTTACATCGACCACGTGCAGTAAACACTTCCTGTACAAAGGTGCTTGAAACAACATCTGTCATTACATCAAAGGAGGTGTTATTGCCAAGTGCAGCTGGAAGAGTTCTAATAATGAGATGGTTTTAAACGAGGTTATAATGAAATCTGTGTGAAATGTCTGAAGCTTTTTCTAAGAAAGCAAAAATGTGCTATTTCCTCCAGTCTTATTATATAAACAGTGTTTTTGCATATAGTTAGCACAATCACTTCTCTGCATGAGAAGCTTGAAAATACATTTCTCTTTATGAAAAGTCCGTTGTTGTTTTTTTTAGTGGTGTGTTGATGAAGCAGCCTTAGGGAAGGTTGCTATGGTGTTGAGCCCTGTCTCTTCAGAGGAAAAACCCCTCTGAGGAATGCGGTGTTTGTGGGTTCTGAGAACCAGTATATTAGAATTACTGATCGAGAGTCTAGAAAAGTTATAATAAATTCATCCTTCAATTAAAAAAAGAAGAGCTGACCTCCAACATGCAAATCCAAACCCAGAAAAGTGTTCAGTGAATAAGAACAATACTCAGTAGATTTTCAAATTGATGGCGCTTTCCAATGGCATCTAATTTGTTCCAGCATCGAAGTGAGCATAATTAACAGAGGCTTTCTTTCTTAGGCCGATTAACCAGCAGAAACCATGCCAACATTGTAGCTGCAAGCAGTGAAAACCAATATTTATGAGAGGGATTGTGCAAGAGTTTGTGTGACAGATGGACATTTTATCTCTGTTGATGTTTGGAATTCCCTTGAAAAGTAATGCAATATCTTGTTATTTATGAATGAATGAACAAACGATTGTGCTTTGCTGACTGAGTTTTCTTTAAAAAGAGGTATACTACATTAATCTGTTTCTCTGTTTAGCCTCTGTTACTTTATATTAAGTAGGCTCATATATTCTGATGCAAAAGCTTAAAAATCATAATTGTGTTTTTATTCCAGATACAGATCCACGTGTTTTAGAGAAGCAAGAATTACAGCAGCCAACCTATGTTGCCCTCAGCTACATTAATAGGTAAGCCATTTTCAGAATTTATAGCAACCTCCTATCTGCCACATGTTTATTTTTTGAATGTATCTTAACAGAGGAGAAAAAAATGTTTCAGTTTTAAAATATTTACAGGAGATTATTGAAAAGTAACCACTATATGGGATTTTGTTTCTCTGACGGGGAGGTGTAGGATGTAGTTCTCTGTGCCTATGGCTGAAAACATGACTGATTTATAAGCTCATTCTGGAAGTATTTTGTATGCAGAGTTAGAATACGCTCTTTTGACTTCATAGGGCAGTTGGGGAAATTAATGGATTTATGTTTGAGTGAAACTTTTAAATCCTGGGGCAAAGAAGTACTTTATGAATTCAGAACATGTTTGGAATATCAGAATACATCAGGATATAACAAATTGAAATAATTTACTATCAGTAAATTATTTAGTAGCAGCCCATCTTTTAGTAAAAATGTTCTCTACAAGTGAACCCTATCTGTATAGAGTAACGTTGAGTTTTTACTGAAACTGAATGTGTGAGCACAGGTTTAGAGGACAGCTCGAACTTGACCTATCAGGTCTAAAAGAGGAGTTGGTGTTTCAGCCAATTCAAATAATTAAAGAGACAGTGATTTGGGGAGAGAACCTGAAATCCACTTACTTCAAAAAAACACACGCACCCAAGGAGAAAAAAGCAAAGCAAAACTAGTGTTTCATGAGAACGAAAAATTCTCTGCTTGTAATTCAGTGCACAAATTTTTATTGACGGTCCCTTTTTCATAAAAGTCAAAGAATGGTTTCAGTATCTTGGTACCAGAGCTAAATTCAGGGTCTGAAGTGGAAAGCTAGGAATGAATTATCTGTACTGTTACATTTTCATGTCGTTTTAGAAAACTTTCTTGTCTGCAAAGAGCTTAGGGTTGGAGTGGCCTGTGCTATTTCCAGCTCTTTTATGGAGCACATTTTTTAAATGATTCGCTAACATAAACATCTATTTGCATATCTACTTTGAATTTCCTACTTATCAGCCTTCCCTGAAAGTGAATGAAATTATCTGCAGCTTTATATTACCCTTAAGTTTTAAGCTGTTTTAAGTGGAACACCCTCAAAATCACATCAGTTACAAATTAAGATGTATACTCTTGTATGTATATGCTTATCTGGATTACTCATAAAACCTGTGTTGTGGGTTTTGCGAAGTTTTTAATTATACATTAGAATTATGTGAATGTTAATTAGCCTACCAATATTGGGGAATAGGATGAATAGGCTTTTATAGATTAATTGTGGTATGGAGTAGGGCATGTTTAATTGTGTGGCTATTGTGTTTGGAGTAAAATATGTTACCTAGGTATATAACAATTTGTGTAATACTAAGCCTTATTCTAATAAGGGTCTATGAGAGATTTTTTCACATGTATTCTTCCTGTTTATATTGTCAGCCATGTCGGCAGCAGGTGTCATACTCACTAAAGAAATAAATATTCTGCCAGGTGTGATTTGGGACTACAAAGAAAGCTGAAGAATAGGGACAAAACCACCAGAGAAGTTGAGTCAAGTGTGATGATAGGTTAGCATAAACTGTGCAGTGGGCTATGCCAGAAACCTAGAGTCAGGGAGTGATCAGTGGGTGTGAAATTACTTGGACAAGTCTTCTGGGAGAAAATGAGTCATTTTAAAAAATAACCTTTTATTATTACAGCCGTGTACAGGCATTATAGAAAATTAGGAAGTATAAGCAAACAAAAACAAATTTTAATTAAAACATCATATTCCCACCACTCAGCTATCACTACTGATCCTTAACACATATTTTTTATACTATTTTTTTTTAAATACATAATTTTTCGCCAAAGCTTGTACATAGTTTTGTAACCTGCTTTTTAGTCACCTGATGTTTTGCCTCTTGTTTCTTTTCATCTGACACAGTCCCTTTTATTGACAGTGACTTGTTGAAGAGATGGGCCAGCTATCCCACAAAGTGCTCCCACCTTCTGGGTTTTCTTGTGGTTGTCTCCTCAAGATGCCTTTGGGTGGGATCCTCTGTGTTCTATATTTGCTATAAACTAGAAGTTAGATCTGGAGACATCATGGAACTGGGCACATCATTATACCAGGGGTGCCAAAAAAAGTGTATACAAGGGGACACTTTGGTCAACGTTGCTCAAGCAGTAGTTTGCCGTAATCAGAAGTGTCTGGATACTGATGGCAACCACTTTGAGCACCTCTTATAATTGCAGAAGTCAAACGTGACTTGTATTCATCTTGTGTTAGCAGTATATATTGAATATTACAATTTTAATATAGTTTTCCTTTCTTAAAATGTGTATACATAGGGCCGGCCGAGTGGCTCAGTTGGCTAAGAGCTCGCTCAAAAGTGCGAGCTCTGAGCAACAGAGTTGTCGGTTCGATTCCCGGCCCGAGATGAGCTGCCAACAGGTGGCAGGATGGCTCAGCTAAAAAAAAAAAATGTATACGTGTTTTTTGGCACCCTCTGTATTTAGAGGCCTGAGAAATGGAGAATTTACCACATCGTGTCCTAGCTGATAGAGATGGACACAAATCGCAGGGGATCGGTGTTTACTGGTGATCTTTAGGTGAAGAGAAGAACTGTGTATGGGAAGTCATCCAGGCTTCCAATATCCCTTCTCACTCGGATCCCTTTGTGGACAGTGCCACGTTCATAACATAGTACTTAACACATAGTAGACACTCTGGGTATTTGTTAGTAGGTGGTAAATAAACACCCAGTAAATGAGAGGGCTGAGCAATGGGCAGCAAGCAGCAAGGAAGAAGCGGCCATCGGGAAAGGTACGCTAAAAGCAGTCTTAGGGCCTTAGATACAGAAGGGGAACTTCTGTATCTTGTATATTGTAACTTGCATGAAGCCAGTACGGATTCAAGGAAAGAGTGATGTGAAAGAAAGTCAACTTGACAGCAATATCCTGACTACAGCAGAAAAGAGTACTATTGTAAAAAATAAAGTTGAACAAATAAGAGACTTTTTTCCCCCCCTCTTAAACCTCAGGGGGAAATAAAGTCTAATTTTGCTGAGCAGTGAAGACAGGAAGAGAATTAATATTTCTCGGCTCATATATCTATTTCTACAACTCTAATGTAGTTTCGGGCATCTCAACATTGAGATGAAACTTTCCTTGGCAAGAACATTGACTGAAATCAGCAGAGAATTAAGGTCCTTAAAAGGGAGCTAGCATTTTGGATGATCAAACGAAAAGAAGTGAGTAGAAATTGGAGCCTTTCTTTATACCTGTTTTAAATTGTTTCACTCTCTGGAACGTAATGGGTTGGACAAACCTTTAATTCTTTTCAAAGCAGGTCTGTTACAACACCTGAGCAAATTTAAAAATAGAAATAGTTTAATCATAATGAGCGAGACTGAATATGAATTAGCGAGGGTTGTTGGAACAGTTCTACGGGGGAAAAAATGGATATAAATTTTAAGGATGGGGAGTTCAGTTAATTTTGTGTGAGGAACAATGACAAGTCCATGTAATGGGAAATTTAATTGCTTAGTCTGTATAATATTTCTACATCTGGAAAAAAGTATAATGGGCAAGAAGAAAAGCAAGAAGATTTTGAATAAAAGAGAGAATATTGAAGAAAGAATGAACGTAACACTTTTATGCCTTGCGCTCCATGCTAAGCTCTTGTTATGTGGCTCATTTCATTGAACCTTCACAATAACCATATGAAGGACATACTATGATGATCTCCATTTTACACGTGCAGAAGTTGAAACTCAGAGGAGTTAAGTAACTTGTCCTAGGTCCCCGGTGGCATTCCAAGGGAGGATTGGGTTCAAACTTGCACATGAGGCTCCAGAATCTGTTTTCCTAATCACAGCCTGACTTGTTGGGGTATCAGAGAGTAAAGTACGGGTTTAGAAAAATAAGAGGAGAATTTGGAAAACTAATGTTGGAAAAATAGGGTAGGACCACTGGGCAGAGGGAAGCCAGAAAGACATAAAAATAAGAGTAATTACTATGCTGTGGATAATTGGAGGGTAGCAACCTAATAAAGTGAAACAGTAGGCGACAGCAGAAGCTAAAAATGTGATGAGAAAGGTGACCAATAACTCTGAAATGATATATTGCTACCAGGAAATGAGTGCAAGGAACATCCTAGCATAGCAGGCCTCAGCTACCGCGGGGAAGGACGCCTTATAGCATCTTAGATCAGGAGGAAGAAAAGGGCAGAGCACAGTGAGGGTACAGGAAACTGTCCTCCACCATGTCTCACCGATAGGCAGGTGACAGGTAAGCTGCAAGGTAAAGTCAGGTGAGTTTCCATAAAAAGGTCCATGAGAAGCACTACCGCGTTTCCCCGAAAATAAGACCTAATTGGAAAATGAGCCCTAGCATGTTAGTTTTCAGGATGCTTGTAATAGAAGCCCTACCCCAAACATAAGCCCCAGTTAAGATCGTCAGCCAGACCACGACTGTTTGAATAAATGTAGATTTTTGTACATGAATAAATGAATAAATGTAGATTGTTGGAGCAAACATTAATATAAGACCCGGTCTTATTTTCGGGGAAACACGGTAGGTTATATCAGGGTATTTCCTTCAGGTTATTGTGATGTGGTTCAGGTAGGTAGCTGCCTTGAGGTGACAAGATAGCTTATTAATAACCTGTGACACTCCAGACATGGGTCCCTGAGATAATTTAAAGACATAATAACATGCATGTGGCCATGACTGTTAATTATACTATGTTTTAATACAAAATATGTTTTTATTAAAATACTATAAATTGAAGTTTCCAAATTAACTTTAATTTTTAAAATATGTATGTCATTTTCATATAAGCTCTAAAGGAATATCATGCCTAGGCACAAATTGGTACCTTCTTGCACTCAATCCTCGTCATTTACTACCTAATAAAAATTTAATATTCTTTTATACCTAAATTATGGCTCTACTCGAATTCTCTTTGTGAGGCTTCCTGCCCTGCTTGGCATAGTAGAAGTTAGGTTTGGCCTCCTCTAAAAATGGATTTTATTTAGCTT